TATTGAATGAACTAACATATTTTAAATATTTACGGAACTACCATTTGTATACAATCCTGTATTCAAGTAGATGTAATTCGAAAAATTTAAACGGATTTCTTTAAATCCACCTGAGCTGCGGACATATTGCGAATTCATTTTAAAACATTAACCACTACATTTTATTAGTATTAAATACTTTCAATTAAGAAACAATTATTATTAGAAAATAAATATGAATCGGTTTATTTTAAATATTCCAATGTATATTTTTTGTTAATGCAGATAGTGCGGATTTAACGTATTTTATAACCGTTACATGGGGAAAATAAATTTTAGGCAGATTGTTATTGACAATTTTTACATAATTTACGATTGCAATCAATTTCTTTCAAAACTATAATCTAAATGATTGCAAGTTGTATTTTTTACGATCAAAACAGATTCCAATATTAGGTATATTATGCACATGCAATCCAATTTGATTTGAGTTATTCAGTTTTAGATACATTTATATTTCTGTGTTCGTATGGAATAGTAGTTTATGTCGGGAAGCTGGCTTTAGTATAATCCGGCAATCCGTTTATTATTTACAACACAAGGAATTTTTTGATGACCCTTAACAAGAATATGGACGTGCTAGTATCGGAACTATTTCTTGCACGTTTATTTATCCAAAATTTCTTCAACGGCTCGGCGCCAGTGAGGGTATGTTGCGAATGCCGCATTATACTAAAACCAGCCTTTTGACATAATCTACTATTCCATATGAGTGGGACACGTGCGAAATGCGGATTTTCCCAGTTGCAGTACTGCAGTAACTCGACACCTTCCTCACCAACCGCTCTGTCCTCTATGAGCTTCTTAATGCACTGCAAATAAAAGATGGAAATTTAAGAAAAAATACTATCACAGCGTTTCACTCTTGTAGTATATTGGCTATCAAGCACCAGAAAATTTCCATCACGCATTCCATATGCCACCGATTGTCGTGGATCAATTAAAATACTGTCATCACAGCTTTTTGGTACTCCAGCAACTGGTGTGTCTATGGCGGAGTAATGTGGAGCTGTTGCATGACTAAAATCAATTTGGGCTCTTTGAGAACTGGCTTGTTTGTTGCGAGCTATTGGCATCAAATGTATGCAAATTAGATTTCCAAACGGGCAACTGTTGAATACAGGAAAAAATGTATTTTATATGGATCAGCTAAAGTGCACTACTACCGTGTAATTGGCCAACCTTCTAATAAATCAAGCAATCTTATTGTATAGTCATCGCCGCCAGTCACCAAGAAATTTCCACTTGGGTGAAATGCAACATCATTCTCCGGCGACGAATGCACTGTATTAGCTCGCCTTCAGCTTTGTCAAATATCTTATACTAGGTTCACATATAAGTAGATTATCCTCATTTTCGAGCTTAACATCCTAATCTGTAATTATAACAAGAGATTACCCATATAAAATTCGTCCCTTGTTAATCTGTAATTATAAAATAATCTCAGATTTAACCGATAACTTTTCGGTGCCCATCCTAGTTTTATCGATTGTTTTTGCGAAAAAGAGGAGAAATACCAAATGTAAAAGTAAACAAAAATGTACGCTAGCAAGTAAAATAGGTTTGCAAAGGTATTTTTAATAAAATTTTAAGTTAAAATATATTTATATTGCTTATTATAGCAGAAAAACGTGATCACGGTGGCACAGAGAAGCAACATAACTTTTCCTTGAGATGTGAGAATAACAAGCACAACAAATTTGACGGCTAATAATCTGAGATTTGCCTGTGTAAACGGGGTGATTAAAAAACGAGCTTTGATTGAGATAATATTGATATGTGAACATAGTTTTAACGCGGTTACAACTTAATGCTAAGGCCACCAGATTGACGTCTGGATGCCATGCCAGCTGTCGTCCCATACCTCTTCCCCCGGTGAACGTTCGCATACATACGCCTGAAAATGTATCGCAAATTCTTAACTTGTCGCCGCACGATGAAATGAACTTACCATTAGGGCTGAATTTTGCTGCGCGCACCCATTTGTGTGTATTTTGAATCAGTATTTTGATGGCTGTTCGCCATTTTTCTAGTCTGCAAACGAATAAGCTGACGAAGAAGCAAACAAATTCAAGCACATTGTTGCATTCTACCGTACATATTAAAAGCTTTAAAATCTTAAAACATATGTGAAAAACTTTTATAATCTGAATATTTCTAATGTCCCAATCAAAACCAAGTTTTATAAATAGCATTTTTAAAAAGCAATAATCTAATATTTTTCAAGTTTTTGGGCATATATGTTACCATTTGAGCAACAAATACTACCAAGTTTTAAGAGACTATTTAATGCAACTCAGGTCAAAAAAGCGCACTTTAGAGCAAAATAAGCAACTCTAAAAAACAGATGATCGCAGCTGTGGCCCAGGATGACGTCTATTGCTAAGATATCTCACTTGTATTTGTACACAATGCATTGTATCTATCTCACTTGTATTCTTCCACAATGATGATTACAACCTGGATGAAGACAGCCCCTTTGACCGAAACTAACCTAACTTAGCCTGAATTATACTAAAAGCCCAATCAGGAGATATATCAGAACTTGGGTGGGCAAATATTAAAAATCTTAGTAGGCGGATTCATAAAACATAGAAATTATTTCGGTAGAATGAAATTTTCCGAAGCTTACCTTCGGAGAAATAGGTCAGAAAATAACTGAAACTAAAAATCTTGTACTCGCATTTTTAAAACAAAATTTAAAATTTTTTCGCCATTCAGTCTACGGTGGATTTTAACGGCCTTTTAAGCTTAAATTAGTAATTAACTCACCGACCGGAAACTCTTTCAAACCAAATATCACGATCTCATTCGTTTCCAAGACAAATTCCTTCACCTGCTCGATAATTTCCGCCAGAGGCCGCTGCCTCGTAACGCCATGATTGATATAGAACTTATCCGGTGTGTTGCGATAGTAGCCGACGCGTATATCCAAATAGCGCGCACCATGCAGCAATTGACCGCGAATATCGTCGTCCTGCGTCAATGCATATTTAGTGACGAGCGTTTCACGGAGCAGTGGATCAAAATTGGGTCTGTACGAACCGCAATCATGTGTGCCGGGTATGAATAGATCGCGCATGCGCATACCCCCCACCACCGTATGTGTTTCGCACATCCAACGCGGATAGGCGCGCAAGCAAGCGCTCTTCAATATCGCACCGCTGCCATTCACATAACTCGCCCAATAGCCATAGCAGCCAGTTGTCGCGGTCACATTGCGCGAGAGCTCATAATCAAAGGGCACACCGGTGGTGAACCATTGTGAGGTAGCGCCTGGATGTAGCGCTGCTACAATATCATTTGCGCCATTATTTGAAATCCAATAATGACGTGGGGGTGTTGTAGCGCTGCGCGGTGTTGTTTGCATTTATATCCGCATCGTGTTCAAGCAAGTAGCGCGTCGGCGAGGATGTGCTGCGCTCAGTGATGCCATCGATTGGCACAAAACCCCTGCCCCTGCCTTGTCGAATGCGGCCAGCGGTGTGCCGGTGGTCCATTCGACGCGCTCAAATTTGTGAGGCTCCTGCGAGGTGATCAATATGTGGTCATCGGGTAGCGCAGGCGCATTCATCCAAGATACCTCCAAGTACCGATGACGTGGCGCTCAAGTCGAATATGTCATCGTCGTTGTATGGCAGCGCAGAGGGCGCGGTTGGCGCGGGCAGTGTGTGGGATATGAGTAGCATAAGTAATGTGTAAGCATGGATTGTGAACAACATTCTCGAAACCATAACTGCTGCAATACAGAGTGTAACGCCTTTATGTATGTGACGAAATCACTTCGCTTGCTAAATAATCGTATCACTTTCGCTTATCGTAGTTGTCCGCACACTTGAACACAAATTGAATTAGAACACTTTTCACTTTTTTTCTCTTGGTCTCGGTTAATTTTTCTTCCACACTTGTGTTGCTGCTTTGAGAAATTTAATTTATTTTTTTTAACGCTCGTTATTCACTTAAGAAACAACGCCGTCTTTCGCTTGCTCAGTACGCGCTCAGATCAATTGCATTCAACGTGGCTGGCTGGCTGTTTGGCTGCGCGTGCAATTTCAACCGTCCCCAACGGCTGTCTGAACCGTTCTAGATTTGTTTATATTAAATTTGATGCTTTCAACATAAAACAATACTTGGAAAGTTTATTCAGTACATATGTACATACATACCTATCAACTACGATATTCGCATTTTTTCTTTTGTCTAATTGCGCGCAAACAAGTGAAGAAGATAGAGTGTTTGGAAAAACTGCTTTAAAAAATAGGCCATTTCCAAATACCCGTTTAATTGTAAAAACAATTAGTGAAATTTGTATGCCTAACTATTTGAAAAGCGATAAAAGGCAAAAGATAAATTGAAGCGTAAATTTCAACCAAATAGGAGTCGTTCAACCGTTTAACTTATTTCCGCAACGAATTCTTTTATCTTTCCTTAGTTACTCCTCAATCGATATGTGGAAGCCAAGGAAACAACGAAGCATCAGCATGGTTTCCGTAAAGTGCACAACAGCACCACTGCACTTAATACCGTAAATACCTAGGTGACTCGCTGGTAGCGCTAGACTTATCAAAAACGTTTTACAACGTTTGCTATTTCACGCTGTTGAAGAAAATCGAGGCATCCTCTCTGCCACCAAGACTAAAACGGTGAACGCCGGCAATTCTCGATATTGGCGCACGCCAATTGAATTGATGACCTGTGTTTGAAGTTAAACGACTATCCAGCCGATCTTTCTTGCGGAGCGTAACCCTCTCCTCTACGAAACCAAAGGCGACCCATTTTACCACCTGAATGGAGAGGTCAAGGTGCAATTGCGCACCACGTCCACGTCGTCGTTCCCACGACAGTCGGGTCGTCGTAACCGGAACGAACCAGATTTATATTTGGCCAAGGACGGTCACTCCAGCAACACTCCCCAAAAACTCTTTGGCGAATTTGTATGCTGCTACAACAACAACAGCGTCAGCTATGTACATACATCAATTACGTACCCACTGGGAAAATAGGTAAGCACCTTACGAGGTAAGCCATGTTTTCTTTCAGTTTTTAGTACCAAAATTGTCATCATGGCCAATGTCATCTACTAGTAAAGCACAAAATGAACACCTCCAACGACACATTACGTTGTCAGTTGCAAAGTAACGTGCAGCCGAAGTTATCTCCAAGCGCCGAACTACTCCGAGCGACTTCTCTGCATTACACGTAACTTACTTTGTAAAGCGGCTCAGAAGTATGTCTGATACCAAATGTACATTCTAAATTCCTAATTACATAAGGCGGCCATGCCTTTGTAAAAGTAAGGGACGTTCGGCAGGGAAATGGCAATGACTGCCAGGTGAAGAGTAAGTTGCTAATAAGGTATTATTACGTGCTCCTAATTCCCACTGGGTATGTACGTACACACATACATATGTACTTAAAGAAACATGCATACATACATAAACGACACCTGTGCGACAGTAATATTTATAAATGTTTTGAACGAGTGTAATGGTCTGATTATGGCAACTTAACGTAACTTACGGCTCTCTCCTAAAAATTCTGTTAAATGGGTGTTGCTTACAATTGAACAGCCGAAACTTAACGTAACTTAATGTGACGTCGAAATCTGTTTCATTTTGATTCTCTAAGTTCTACGTTCCGTTAAGTTAAGTTAAGTTGCCATAATCAGTCTTTCAGCGTTGCCCAAGCGACGAGCCCGCGAATAGTTAATTTTTATACCCAATTCATGGAGACACAAGTACTTTATGACACGATATCGAATCGAAAGTATCGATATGGTACTAATTTAAAGTATCGCTATAAAAATATCACGTACCCATTAAATTCGAAATAAAAAGACTCGAAATCCCAAATATAGATACCAAAATTCAAAAAAAAAAATAAATGTCTCTGAATATTGGTGTTGTATGTAGGCCGCTGTGGTGTAGTGATTAGAGGTGTGCAAACCTCCGAGTGTATATCTGCCATTAAAAACATCTTCTCACAAAAATACAATCACCGTTCGGAGTCGACGTAAAACTGTAGGTCCCTCCTCTTTGTGCGACAACATCAAGGCGCACGCCACAAATCGGAGGAGAAGCTCGGCCAAACACTAACATATTGTGTAAGCTCCCATTTATTACACGGTGCTAAAAGAAGCGATGAAATACACCCGAAGCAAAACCTAGTGTAGCCTGTAAGTATGGTTGAGTACAATATGAATATACATAGGTCCCGTATAGTTCCTGAACTCTCAACTTTTTTTCATGCCAGAAAACCCATTGTTTTCATACTTGATACACTTATCTATTAAAAGCTTGACTATTTTCCATTCGATTTTAAAAATCGAACAAGTTCTGGAAAGTTGATTAATAGACCTTTAAAACGATATGTAACAATATATTGTTAGACTTAGCTTGTTGGGAGGTTTCTTCGGTTAAATTTTAATGAGCCCCTATTTTTATACATTTTTTGAACTTTGATCATCGCCAATTTCAAAAATTTCTATGAAAGTTGCCTAATATGTGGTATTTATCTAAAAGAACGTTTATTTTCGAATAAATCGATATCTCATCCAATGCAATTGCATAAAACTTGTCGAAGTTAAGCAATTTAAGCAAAAATACAGCCTTGAATTTATTTGTGTGTATGTACCGGACGTGCATATTTTTTGAGCAGTGTGGCTAAGGAGTTCATCAATATTTACTCAAAATTGATATATGTAGTTATACAATCGCTCTTAAGCCAAAAATTTATCTTTCATAAAATTTTAGGAAAATGGGCGTGGCACCGCCCACTTATGTATATCATATATGCGTATCTCAAAAACTACTTGACCGATCTCGACCCAATTTGAAAATACACATTAAGCTTGGCCTCCTTAAGCATCGTTCAAAGTACAAAAAATTAAGATAAAATTTAACCGATGAAAACTCCCAACAATCTAAGTCCGGATTAACAAAGTTCTACTGTAGTTGCCAGAATTTACAACTGTTTTACGAAAGTTTTTTATATTTCGAAACACCGTGGTGAGTTAAAAGACAGTTAGTTGCCGGAATTGCATTATAATTATCTTCGAGAAGACAATTTAAATTGTTATTACTTCGTCTATGATTTATGCAACTTTTTACACAGGCTCAAATACCTTTTAAATGCATTTTTGGGGTTAAACCAATCACTTCTGTTCCAATTATCTCAACTATCGTTGCATGATAAATAGTTGATATCGAAGAATTGTTCTCTAGGGCAATTAAATGATTCAGTTTCGCAGAACATAATATTCATAAGTAATTATTGTTGTCAATTTCACTTAGTAGACATACAGACAATCATTCATGAAAATGTACACGTATTAGACTGAGTCGAACCCTAACGAGAGGTTTGTTTATCTAACGTTTGTTTAAATTTTTTGAGCCTCAATAGTTATTTATGTAGCTTAAAACTTTAATTTGTTTCACCAACATGGCTTATCGCTATGAAGCCATTTCCGTTTCTGGTGGACACATTACTGAAATAAACGCTGGAACATTAAGCTTTCACTTTCCGCTCAGTTGCTGTGTTGATTATATGTACTATGTTCTTGTTATATTATGCAGTTCTTTATACATTATTTACTTGTTTATTTTTTAATTGTTCTTTATTTTCACATATTTTGCTCTCACTCAGCACACCCACAACACCTGCAATCGCGCTTTTCGCCTAACAAAAGTTCAAACAGACAGCCGCACATTCGCACTTCTCGGCAAACGATCTTGTCCCGGTTTCTCTCTGAACTTTATCGCTAATTATGTTCATATGTACGTAGATATGTAAATATATAAATCACTTAGCACAATCACCGAACTATCGTATCGCCAGCAAGCCTCGACTGAAGCTTACCATTTCAACGATTTTTGAGATTGCTGCCTCCGCCTCCGTCTCCATCACAGCTCTGGAGCCGGTAACGCTACTATGCTCACGGTATGACTATTAACGCTAAATATAAATAACTATGTTTTTTTTTTTTTTAATTTTTATCGTATTTATGGTGCAGAATTTGAAATGTTTCGTTCTTTATAGGAATGAATTAAGAAATTTGATTAGCAGGAAGGAACTCGATTTGGTTATCTGAATACAGTGAAGGTTCCATAAGCTCAATAAGAGCGGACGGGGGTAAATGAAACTGTAAGATATTTGTTATTTTTTTACTGTTTTTGTAAAACATTATAGCTATTAATCTTTTAAAACTGCGATTATTAAATTTTACACAGCAAAAGTATGCAAATAATCAGGCATATTCTGCATGTCACTTCCGAGCCAATTTCAACCAATGCCACTTTGAATTGAATGGGGTTGAAATTCACTCGGAAGTGGATTGTAGAACCTGCCAAACTGTTGATTAAATGCAGTTCATACATAAGCATACATGAAATTACAGCAACTAGGCTGAAATTTTACCTCACATGGATGTGCCTATGCAAAGACTTCAATGGCAGGCTTATACCCACTAAGGATCATAGACTAGTGGTCTAATTTAAGGAATAAAAGTATTGAGCACTGGGCTAAGCGATGGGTGGATTTGGAGACCAAGGTCGACCGCCTGAACGATTCGATAATGAACTAGTGGGAATTAGATTCCGACAAGTAGCGCCAAAAGGAAACCATAGTGATATTCAATCTTTCAACTTCTAACTCTCAGAAAATAGGTCAACAAAGAGTGATTTTCTTGGCTCCAGAGGCAGCCAGACTTCACAGAACCTTAGCTAGGTTAACAGTCAAACGTCCAATTGCGACACAACTTTCAAATAACCAAAGTTAGGGAAAGGGCTCTAACCATTCAAGCGATTCACTTCCTAGTAGCCATCGTGGAAAACAAGGAGATTGCAAGACGCCTGTTTTTCTAGTCAATAGGTTCATATGAGCAGTACAAATCCCCAGATGTGTACGGCAAATGGCCAGTTATTCTCCAGAAACGCCATCTCAGTCTCAGTCTTCTCACCCCGTTCATAATCAGATCAATGCGGAGAAGCCTTGCAATGACATATCATCCCTCAACTAAGCAAAAAATAATAAAAATAAAAATACTGCATTCTAACCAAATCTGTTCGACCGAGCTGTATAATAGCTTTTGTCTTTAGGGAAATGTAGAAATTTATAGACAACAAAACTAGATCAACCACTCTGATGACTGCTCGAGCACAATATTGTCCAGGAGAAAAATCGTATACGGAAAACCAACATATCGTCGCTACTATGTCAAACTATCGAATGTGAAAAAGAAAGCAAAGAAACTGTTATAAAAACTGTTGTGTTCATTAGGAAAAAGTGTGGCATTCGACACTTTGTTAAAGCCAGTATCCTCTGCTGCTACGAAGACTCGAAATGTGACGATTTGCCAATTTGCGTATCACTATAAATCGGAGATAGGCACCGCCCTGCCCGCGGGCAAAGCTCTTTTAAGATTTCTATATAATTCATATAGACGTGTGCAGAGTAAAAGCTCTCTCCGCCCGTCGCTGCTATAAATCAATGATGCTCAGAGAGAGCTTGCACTCTGTGCGCGCCCATTGAAAATCCACAGAGAGCTTTGAAGAATTCCACTCGCGGGCGCTGTTTTGAGTATCACTGCTCTAAATCGGTGATGGGCATCGTATAGGCGCGTGAAGAGTAAAAGCTTTCTCTGCCCATCGCTGCTCTAAATCCTTTTTATACATTTACCCACCAGAGTCGTTTGATAAAGTGATAAACTTTGGTTAAATAGATTTCCATACAAAGTTTAAGAGTTCATTTATCAAAATGATAAGTTTATCACTTTATCAAGTTTATCAAGAGTTTATCACTTTTGATGAAGACCCCTATTTATTTTCACAAACACGTCAAAACCGACTCACGAGTCAGACGCATGGTGTATGCCGCCTGTAAGAAAAAGTGAAAGTCAAAAAGGAAGCGGAAAAAAAATAAAGGTAATTCTCTAGGGTGGGGTAACAACCCCTAAAAAAGGTGCGGAAAAGTCGGGAGGGGTACCAAACGACGCGTTTCGGCCCCCCTAATAACAATCCGGGGGGGGGGGGGCTAATATTATTAACCATTTAAAAGTTATGAACAAAAAACTTTTGTTAAATTTCGTTGTTTTCTATGGGCAATTACACCGACAAAGATTCACTAAATCACAATATAATTTAACTTATTTATTAAAGAAACACATAGTTTTATCAACCTAAGATGGATTATTTTGTTATTAAAAAGAAGTTGACAATCTTTGCGAGCCGAAACGCGAGATTCCAAAATAGCTATAGTGCTGCCACTGTATTAGTATTTCGTAATAATTCACTTTACCTTATGAGATGTGTGCACTGTTCAATGCTTTTCGGTATCTTCTTTCGTTTAATATATATATAAATAATGAAAATTTTTAATAAAAAATCGCGCGATTTTTTATTAAAAATTTTCGCCTGCGCGATTTTTTATTAGAAATTTTCACCTGCGGCGCTTTTTCTATAAAAATTAATACTTCGATAAATAATGAAAATTTTTAATAAAAAATCGCGCGATGGTATAGCGAAATTTGCTATTATATTTTGGTTACAATATCTTATTTAGATGAAAGTAAAAAGAAGAAGAAGAAGAAGAAGTGTATAGTGTATAGTGTAAAATGAGTATAATAGCGCAAATGAAATGTGAAATAAAGTGGCAATACCAGCGATGTTGGCGGGTGAGCAAATAAAACACGTATTTTGAGCCGTAGCACGTATATCGGCTTTATATTCGACAATTTCAATGCTTTGATACGTTTGTGCTAAAATCTAAGATTTTACATATAAGGAATCCATTTTTTAATACATTTCAATATGAATACTTACACTTGTGCTCCTTGTGGATGGATGTTTCACGCCGCCAACGAAAAAGTGAAGAAAAACTTAGCGCGATCAACTTGACAGAAAGAGCGCTCATGTCAGCGGCTGAGAGACATACATCCGCAAGGTTGCAATTTATGGTACAAATTTATTAAACTAGAAACTTAAGGCTGCACAGACTTATTGCGCGCCAACAAGCGATTTGAGGTTATAATAATTTTAGCAGGCGCAAAGTTTGTTTACTCTGTTTTATTAACGAAATATATAAAATAAAAGAGAATAAATGATTTGGTTTGCATAAAATAATAACCGGAAACGTTTTAGTAGTGTTTTAAAAGTGGAAACTGGTGATTTAGTGCATTTTTGACGTGGTAATTGCTCATAGAAAACAACGAAATTTAACAAAAGTTTTTTGTTCATAACTTTTAAATGGTTAATAATATTATCTCACCCCCTCCGGATTGTTATTAGGGGGGCCGAAACGCGTCGTTTGGTACCCCTCCCGACTTTTCCGCACCTTTTTTAGGGGTTGTTACCCCACCCTAGAGAATTGCCAAAATAAATAAGCCTACTTTAATTGCAAGTTATAAGATAGATGTAAATTTTAACAATTTCAACAACACACACAATCGCGCGAGTGATTGCTTGGTATTTCGCATTCGAGGTGAGAATAAAAAAAAAGGCGTGAGTACTAGGTACTCATGAAATTTGATGTGTATACATATGCGAACGGCAAACCATAAAAGTACGTTTACATATAAATATAATCTCAATCAAAGCTCGGTAGCTGTCAAATTGGTTGTGCTTGTTATTCACATAACTCGAGGAAAAGTTAAACTTCTTCTCTGTGCCACCGTGGTCACTTTTTTTTGCAGCACATATTAGGCCATTTAAATATATTTATAACTGAACATTTTATTAAAAATACCTTTACAAACCTATTTTCCTTACTAGCTGTGATATTTTTAATTATAATTTTGCATGGCTAATCTCTTTTTCTAATAACAGATTAGGGAGTTAAGCTCGAAAATTAGGATAATCTTTTTATATGTAAAGCTATTATTAAGCGATTCAGTTACATACATACAAATGTAGGTTAGGTTAGAAATTAAACATTAATTTCACTTAATTTTATTCATTTTTCTGATTTAATTTTTTTATTCATTTTCATTTTTAATTATTTTAATACATGAAATAATCGGTATGATTGATAAAATATACTTGTGACTCAAGGGCGTTAAAATATCTTGGAAACACCGCATCAGTTATTGTTTTTGAGCTTATAGTTTGAGCATTTCTATATGTATATATTCCTAAATTTACCAAAATAGACTACTAAACCTATGCCTAAAACCATCTACGAATATCAAAACCAGGGCATGAATCACGTATGACGACATTCGTCTGAACGATATCGTGTCGAGATTGTCTTGCTTCATAAAAATCCAAAATTGTTTGATCGTTTGTGCGATATCGTCAACTCGATTCCAGTTTTGCTTCACGTAACAGTAACTGTAGCCGTCATCGATTCGCCAACAGTTAGCGAGTGGCGAAACGAACGAATACAATGAGGTACAACCAAACTCGCTATCGTCTATCCGTGCTAACTAACTTTGTTGTTGCTTTCACATGCAAAATTTTTCGTTAAGCGACCGGAACTCAAACATAGCAAGCAGCACTATTAACAAGTAAACGGAACACAAATGCATAAATCAGTGTTTTGACAACATCATTTTGTCAGTATCGTTTGAACGACTATCGTTTCAAAGTTACGTGATTCATGCCCAGTTGCAACAAATGAGTCCATACATATTTATGTGCATACATAGGTACAAAGCCGTATGCATTTGCGGAGTTTAAATAATCGGAAGTAATAATCAATTGAAGCGCATTTCCTCTTACTATGCGTATGCCTAAATGTATGCAACCACTTGGCAAGCAAACACAGGGTGCTTCTAATGAAAATAAAAATTTTATGCTGAAATATATGAATAAGCCCTTCGAAATTTTGTGCTGGGATATGCGTTACAGCTTCGCAAATTTTACCTCTACCGAAACCAAAGATGTATACACATCAAAAATAAAAAATTGAAATTGGAAAAAATAAAAATTGATGCAACTTTCTTTCCTAGTAAATTTGTTTGCTTCTCGAAGCATTGATCCATCCTTTACAAGGGCCAGTAATCAGCGGTTGTGCTGCTGAGTTGGGCGAACGTTCCAAAAGCTGCTATTCAATCGCTTGTTTTGTATGGAAAAAGGTTTCACATGCAAATGGGTTTTAACAATTCAGAATTTTTGTGAGAAAAAATTAAAAATATTTGACATTTTCGAGACCAAATAATTTGAAAATAAATCAAATCAGCTGCTCTACTGATACTACCTGTTCAATGCACCTTGGTTCCAACACTTCATAAACCATTACATTCCAAGGTATCGAATTATCTCAACAATCAGCGCCGCTCGGGGCAGTATTGTGATTTAGTAATCGAATTGGAGGTTGACACGGCAGCCGATGATAGCATTGCGCAATTTGGCCACTTCTGTGT